GAGAGAGAGAGAGAGAGAGAGGACCAAGAAGCCTGAGTTGTAGCTATAATCTCAGATTAAAATATGATCAGGCTATTACATCAAGCTATTGGTAAGTTTGAAGTTTGTATTTTGATGAATTGGAAAAAACTGTGACTATTTTTTTATTTTTTTGCTTCTTTCTTGTGAGTTTTGTTTCTTTCTTGTGAGTTGTGTTTGATGAATTTTGTGTGGCTTGTAACTGTAAGGAAACTGGTTAGCCTATTACTCTATTATATATTTTTTAATTTGCTTTTGAATATTTTGTAAATACGGGTTAGATTTCTTGATGTGGAGCCATTTGGCCACTTGGTGCATTGAAACTGTGCTTACTTAATCTGAATTCCTTGTTGATGTGCTTTAAACTTGTATATGATATTGGTGAGACTAAAACTGGTTAGAGCTTAAGTTCTATTTATATTAAAATCAACTGATACAACCGAAGATGGTGGTTTGAGTTTGACTTTTAGGAGAAGTCGAGTAGAGAAATTAATATTAGCTTCGCTAGGGGAACATCTTGTCTGCTTGGATGAATTTGGTGCCATGAAAATATAGGGTCATTTTGAAACATTGTTGATTAGTTCTTTAGGCTAGTGTTTGAGATTTTGGATGAATCCTCCCGTGTAAGATTTTTCACTTACTGGAGTTCTTTTACACCTAGGAGCTCAGTTTTGTCGTTCTAATATTGGAAGCAAGTTAACCAATTCTCCTCATGTGGCGGCCAGAATCTCCCAATATATAGGCAAAAGTTCAGCCTAAGTACTCATGATCATACTTGAGTGGGTAAGGTGGGTTGAAATCCTACACATGCCTGTACATGCTGTTTTTGAATTTCTGGACCGTATTTAACCACTAAATAGTACCCATCTCATTTGAACCCCAGCCGCTTACCATATTTCAGTATTGAAAAGAACAAAAACTTGAATAAGCTTTGATAGAGCCTTGATGCCAGCACTTTGGAGAAGTTCTATTGAACCTCATCATAGAGAAAATTATATGTTCCCATGGTCCCCTTTAATAGTCTGAACTGAATTACATCCTCTAGTCACTGATTTAATAATAGTCAACTGAACTTCCACCGAGTGCAAGTAACTTTCCAACCTCTTCTGCTGGTTGGTTATTCCACTGACCCGCACTTTCACCGACTCCTCCGTCATCTACATGCTAGAAAAGGAAGCATTCCTGGGCACTATCCTTTTCATGGCAGTGAGTATTATTCCAATGCCAATGTGTTTAGCATCAACTACAAGATCTTGTTGAAACAATACTTATTATGTTGAAATTGAGGTTTTGTGGATCTCCAAGTGATAAATATATATTGAAAGGTAAAATAAATGGCTGAATTTCATAAAGACAATACAGGTGAATAAACCCCACCCCCACCTCTTTGTCAAGTAACCTCAAGATGCCTTAGATCCAATATCATGGGCACAAGATGCGTGCATGAAGAATGCCAAGCTATTTGAACTTGGCATGGCCTCATAAATATATGTAACTTTCTTACCTGGGTAGGGCTATTCGATGATGCAAAAAACATATGCGAACTTTTTAGAGACCCCAAGCTTTATTCATCTCAGCAATATGTATGTAATTATGCATAACTTTTTCCCTCAAAAAAGTATGTGTTTATAGATGCATGCTCTCTGAGTTCATGTGTCCTGCACCATCACAGTCCGAAAGAAAGCCACCCGAGTAGCTAGCATGAATCCCGGATTGATCAGCACACCTTGCAAGGCTAAAGACTCATGGCTGGAAGGGCCAATCCATCTTTCGGTTCAGTACTCAGCTATTATCTCGGAGAGTTTGGCATTGAAGCTTGTCAATATCACTCTTGAAAGGAAAGATAACCATCATTCACCAATCCTTTGAATCTTTAATCAATTTATGTTTCGTGATCCTCTCTCTCTCTCTCGCTCTCTCAATTTTTCTTTTTTCTGATAATGGGTCTTTTGAGTGGTTTAGGAACGCTGGAGTTGGGTTCGGTGGTTCAGCCTAGTATTTCTTTTGTTTTTTATGGAAATGAAACTTTAATATGTCCCAACAATCTATCTTATAGAGAAACACAACTAAACAGCAAATCTGTATACATCAAAGATAGATATACTTTCTTATAGAGAAACACAACTAAACACCAAATCTGTATACATCAAAGATAGATATACTTTCTTATAGAGAAACACAACTAAACACCAAATCTGTATACATAAAGAAAGATACAGGATTCCAGCTTGGGCTTGATTGGTTAAGGTTTTGATGAATGCATATCTGCATCCCTAGTTCGAATATTACCACTGAACTACCAAGAAGAAAATACGTCAAATAAAATGGCACATAGGGTTGGTTTAGTACATTGGGAAAAAAGAAAAGAAAAAAAGAGAACAGAATTCCGTTGTGAAGCTCCTTTGTGACAAGTAATTTCATTGTTTTCACAAATAACCATGAAATTTAAAGCATCAGATTGGGCATAGATTGAGTAGATCTATGAACACTAAATTTTTTTTGAAAGTGGATGGACTAAATGTGTTATATGATGAATTATTCTTGAGATTTGACATCCTTTTTTGGTTTATTTCATATGCATATATCTCGAAGTCCAAGTCCCGATGATCAATTCTAGGGGGGTCTTTTAGTATCAGAACCACTATTTTAGGTGGATTTTTTAGGTACACTTTATTTTTAGAGAAAGTATATAAAGAGACCATATGTTTTTAATAGAATGAGGTCAGAATCACTTTTGTCCGTCAAATTTCAAAGCGGATGGTTGTGAATGCATCATTGACTAGACCCGAAGTTCAAAATCAGTTTTTCGAACTTTGTGACACGTCTCGAGCCATACAATTTGACATCTAATGGCTACTACCAATTATGACTTCTTTGTACCAAAAACAAATTGTTTTATTTCTATATTATAAGATTGCCGCCTTATATAATTTTTTTCTTTTAATCAAAATTATGTACACACAGATGCCATTACGTTTTTCAGCAGCAGGCACTCTAATGGATTTCAAATACGAAAATCGACACAAATGCAGACAAAAAAGTTCGATAAAGATACACATGGGAGGCAAATGAACTAGTAAATATATGGGGATAAATGTATTGGGATTATACAGGGTTTGAATGCGCAAGCACATTAAATTTTATTAATGGCCTTGTGAGCCCAACACTTTGCACTCACCCATACATGCAAATACATTACTTTCCAAAAAGTAAGAAGTGTAAACGGAATGGAAAAAATTTATGTAAGGTGTTAACCTTATACTGTACTAGTACACCTAAAAAGTCGACTAGAGCAGGTTGTTCCAGCATAGACAACTCTCGATTATCTTGACCTCGAGATTCATATGTATGAAAAAAAAAAGAATTTTTAGTCTTAAAACAATTTATTCTCTATATTTTCAATATTTTCAAGTGTTTATAGATCTGCTTGATTATCATCTTTTCTGGAACTTAAATTTTATAATGGGGGACAATAATAAATTTTTATATCATCACAAGGAGGCACCAAAACTGTATTTTCGGCATAATTTTGAGATGCACATTACTTTATACAAACCTCACCCATGCATAACACCTTCATATTTATACACTTTAATTGCATGGGTCTCCAGATTCTTAGTTTGTGTCCCCTGAGGTATAAAAAAAACTATTTCGAGAAAATGACAAAACGAGTCGTCTAAATATGTTTTGCACAAAATTATGATTTTTAGATTATATATTCCTTAGATGAGTCCTAGGACTCATAGGAACGTGAACTTCCATGCGGCACAATACATATAAAAGATTTGGCTGCTGTTTTCAGCTGTCCAATCTTTCGATCGGACGATTGAACATGTAAACTATTTCAATTTCATATTTTATACATTTAACTGAACCCGAATTTTGGGGATAATCAAGCATCTTTTTTAAAATATAAAACAAAGAGTTTGATAAAATAAAACAATACGCCTAAAAGTTATAGGAGTATATTCGTCATTTTATTTAATTTTATTTTTTATTATGCATCCTAAATTAGTTGCTCATGCCACAAGATATTACCTCGATCTGATTTAAAAAAAATAAAATAAAATTCAAATAATATACATACTCTCAACCATCAGGTCAAAATATGACAAAATCATACTACTTTTAGATTGAAGTCACAAATCGTTTACATATGATCCACCACATAAAAAGCTCCCCCTATTTAAATAAGGGTAAGTTTGGTCTAGAGCCTAAGCTCTAAACAATCAAATTAGAGCCGACCTTCAAATAGTATTAAGAAATGTGGTTTCAATATCGGAAATCTTTATGATAGCCTTAAAATATATTGTTATGTTTATTTATAAAAAGTTTAAAGCTTAAAAAATTGTGTAGATAGATAGATCTATAAAAACTTGAAAATCTTGAAAATTGACAGCTCAAAAATGCGTTACAAAATACACTATTTCCAAAACTTGAAATCCATTTTTTTCTCATATCCATGCTTCTTGATGTCAAGATGATCAATTTGAAAATATTTGGGCATCAAAACAACCTCTTTTAGCAAAATTTTTGAAGTAAGCTTTAATTTGATTGTTTAGAGCCTCAGCTCTATATAAACTTTTCCCTTTAAATAAAAGATTATGTACTATAAGACCATATTTATTATAAGGTCACAATTGTTACTAACCCTCGGATGTTAAATTGAATGTCTTAACACAAAGCTCGATATTTTTATGTTTAAACTTTCAATCTAATCAGTGACACTCACAATCATCCACCCTAAAATCTGATGGACAATAATGATTGTAGCCTCGTTGTATTAAAAGTAAATATTATCTTTCCACAAGCAAAAATATTCATATATATTTTGTGTAAATGATATTCATAAATTTCTCTCATTGCATACTAACTATTCAGCATATGCAAGAGATGGAGGCTTCTAACACATGGTTGAACCATGAATTTTTATACAAGCTTGAGAGAGTTTCATGAAAAAGTTCCCAATGAGTTTATTTTCTCGAGGGCGAAAGTTCATGAGAAATCTTACCAGGAAATCTCACCTCAGATTCCACATTGCATTAGAAACTCATTGTATCCAGATAATATAATTTGAGGTTTCAAGATTCCGAGTTTCAAACAAAGGTTACTACAGGCTTCCACTTCGCACTCCATTCTAATATACTTCTGCAAAAAATGAACGCATACAAACCTTGGCAAAGGCCATTTAATGAAGTCCCATAACAAATAAATCTACATTATGCTTCATAGGTCGAAAGAGATCGATGCGCGAATCAGTTGCGGATAAATTTCTAAGGCTTCATCAGTGTCGATACTTAGTATTGCCCATTCTGATGGTTTTGCAGTGAAAATGTGGACCTAGTGAGCCCGATGTGGCAGCCACTTGAGTGAAGGAAAAACCCTTTTCTTTTTTGGTAATATGGGAAGCCCAATTGATCATCTAGTAATAAGCCTTCCTTGGATTATTCTGCAAACAGGACAATTTATTTATTGCATTGTCACCAACAAATCAGGAACAAAAAATTGCTCTCTCTCTCTCTCTCTCTCTCTCTCTCTCTCTCTCT